CCGTACCAGGGGGTGATGCAATGTGTGTGTGTGAGTGTATGTGTGTGTGAGAGAGAGAGCACTCTGCCTTGAGATCTGTACAGTGTCTCTTATTTCACAGCCATAGAAAGGCCCAGACGCCTCTCATTCATCCCATCTTGATACTGTAACAGATATGGGAGAAGAATAAACAACAATGAGATCACTGGGACATCCTCAGCTGGATTACTACTCTCCATAACATGTTAGAGGCCGCTTTTCACAGCCTAATTAATGGAGAGCCCCTCTTAGGAGACCACTAGTGTCTTGCAGGCCTCATTGCTAAAAAATGCTGCCTGATAATGTTTCCCTTTGCTCCTTACTGATAAGAGAAGATGGAGGCAAGAGTCTCATTCCAAGTAGCTTGTATCTTGAAATCAACTCTTAATGCAACTTGATACCTTAACAAATGGAGGCCTGAAAAAAGCCACAGATGCTCCCCTAACCCTTGCAATATTCCCTTTGGGAAAGCATTGAAATAACTCATTACATGTAAGGTGGTTGCATATAACAAGGGTTCAGTGAACTCCATTTCAGAAATGACCCAGTGACTTAAATGCTGTTGTTACTGGTTAGAGTAGACTCATTAATTCAAAAGGATTTACCTACATGTTGACACGCCATTCAACAATGGGTTGAATAGGTCCACTATAGTTAGGACTAACCAATAGGATATCAGTAATAGACTTGGAATGATGTTATTTGTGTTGCTCAAGGTTTGGAATGAATAAATTTTTCTGTTTTTAAGCGTTTTTTGTTCCTGTTGTTGTATTAAAGAATTGACATTTTGAGGAGGACGTTTTGTCATTCTTGTACCAATCTTAAGGTGCTTTTAAAAAAGTAATATAGAAGTAATATAGAAATAATGGAAAAGAAACAAGTAACTATTTGAGTTACACAAATTAGTCTTGAGAGGGCCTAACATTAACATATAACATGAAGATTATTCTGGCTGCTTTGTAACAAGATAAATAACAAATTATTTATTTAAAAATTTCCCTCAAGACCTGAGTAACTATTTACTCTTTTTCTCTTTAGTTATTATTTTTTGTTTGTTGTTGTGTGCCTTCAAGTAATTTCTGACTTTTGGCCACCCTAAGTGAACCTCTCATGGGGTTTCCTTGGCAAATTTCTTCAGTGGGGGTTTGCCATTGCCATTCTCTGAGGAAGAGAGTGTGTGACTTGCCCAAGGTCACCCAGTAGGTTTCATGGCTAAGCACAGATTCAAACTTTGGTCTCCAGAGTCATAGTCCAACACTCAAGCCACTACGCCACACTGGCTCTCTATTTATTATTTTACTTTTTTACGATGTATTTCTGTATTTCCTCCCAGCCCACAAGGGCTTCCAAGGTGATTAACAAATACAGTCAGTCCTCCACATTTGTGGGGGGTTAGGGAACAAGACCCCTGTGAATGTGGAAAAACCTTGAATAACCTGCCCCCCCCCATGACATCCGTTTCTGGGGTGGGAGAGACTTGGGGAAAAGGAGTGTTTGCTTCCTCCAGCCCTTGCCTCCCTGGAAAGCCTTGGGAGAAGCCTCTCTAAAGCCCTTCCAAGATGGCAAGGATCAGGGTAAGGGAACGCTTGCTTCCTCCAGCCTCTCTCACCCTGGAAAGACTTCAGAGAAGTGTCTCCCCAGCCTTTCGAGGATGGGAGGGGTTCGGGATTTAACATTCACGAATAACCAAAACCACGAACGTCAAGCTTGCGAATGCAGAGGGCCGATTGTAAAAACCAATTAAAACAATGCAAAAATAAAAACATTTAAAAAGTACATTAAAATATTCTTTAAAAGTTCCTACAAGCAGTCTAAAAACAATCTTAGAATTCAGTTTTGAACTAGTTAAAACAGTTGTTCTTCCCTACCTCACTTTTCTCTGCTACAACTTTCACATTGCCCAGTTGTTTTGGTTTGTCCATTATATCTGTGGAAACATACTGCAAGAAAGTTGTAATGCATGAAGACCCAGTCATATAGCAGTTTGAAGGAACAGCTGCCCATATGACTTGGTCTAACAAAACCTGTGACAAGTTAGCTTCACTGTTATTTGACTACAGCCATGTAATCGTTCACTGTTGCTGTTACAATCGCACTCAGTTATAACCTCTCCTGCAAATTTACACACAGTCTCTTTCTCTCTCTGTCACACTCCTATACTCATTCTCTTTTTCACAGATATGAACCATGCCTATTAGTAGAACAGGTAACAACAGCTATTTTTCCTATATTGGACTTGGACACTGTGGTGACTTTTTCCCTTTTCTTCATGATTGAGCCAGATCTCAAATACACTAGCTGATCTCCTGAAGGATTGTGAGTCCATTTGTTAGTTGTGTGAGCCTGGAGGACTGGGTTCTGGGTTCTTGTCAAAATGTTACTAGCTCACAAAAACACTAGTCAACCTGGCTGCTAATTCACAGATAGGCATCTGTAGCCTAAAGGAAGTGGGCAGAAAAAAAAACAAGCTTTGAAAGGCTTCTGTGCTTGGATATCTAGAAGAGATACTTATTCATCAATGGTGATCTCATGAAATAGAGCACTCAGCACTGCTGGAAATCTGCTCCTGCATCCAGTATAATTTGGACAAGTGATTATCTCTTCCCATTACAGTTCCTGAAAAAGCATCTCTAGAGCCCTAGAAACCTTCCAGGACCAATTTTGGGTTACTTCTTTGGGGGGCAGGAGAGGGACGGAAGTTATGTGTGTCTGTGTTGTAGGATCCTAATGGACTCAAACATTGGTGGCTTAACAGTACAAAATGAAACTGGAATTAGAAAGTTAGGTATTCCATCCTTGACAGATGCATGAACAAGGCAGACATTTACACTAATTAGTGGAGTTGGAATACAAATGGGACATCCATAGTCAACTTCATCCCAAAGAACTTCCCATGCAATTTGTCTGTTACATTTGTATCTCAGGTTTCAAAAGTGACCAATCTAGAGCCTGTCCAAATTTATATCTCCTTAGTTTTACAGTTGTGTACTTTCAAGTCTTTTCTGTTTAAGAAATATAGTATATGACACTTTTGTTGGCTGTGTTGATTTTGGCTTCAGCCTCATAGATGCATCCAATTCTGCTTTTCCTTAAGTTTAGTTTCATTTTGGAGGATATGCGAGGGAAGCCTATTGACAATCCTCAGGTTTGAAGATAAAACTCTGCAGCCTTGAGGAGGAACTGAATCCACGAACCATTGCCGAGAACAGCAGCCCTGGCTAAGAATTATTATTTTTAACTAATATGCAAAAGGATTTTGTAGCATCTTTGAGACCAACTGGGAGAAAGAGGTTGGTGGTATAAGCTTTCATAGACGGAGCCTATTTCATCAGCTTAAAAACTGAGCCAGCTTAAACTGGTGTGGCAGCTGCGGCTCTGTTGAAAGGATGGACCTTGCCTCACTGATCCAGGTAGTAGGAGGAATGGAGCTGTCCACTATTTTTGTTCTTGAAGGAAACAATGAGTAATTTTTACCAATTTTCTCCCTGCTGTGAGAAAGTATTTACAGTTTTCAAAGAGTATTTGCTGTTTGCAAGTTATTCTACATAAAATTCTGCAGAGTTTAGAAATTAGTCTGCACAAAATCCACACATGGGGGGT